ATGGTTAATTTCGAATTAAAAAAAAATTAATATTTTTTTTTTATTTACGTTGGTGATAATAAAAGAATATTAATAATAATCAAAACAACACTAATAATAACAAAACATTTATTTTTAGGTCACTTTGAAACAAATTTTAAAAATCAGGACTAATATGTAAATAAAAAGGGAGACACGCTTGAAAGGAAATTGAAAAAATAGGGCCACTTTGCAAATTAAAAGAGGCGAGCCACATAGGATGGCTACGTCAGCAGCGGAGTGAATCAAGATGCGCCGTGTGGCAAGTATGTCAGCAAACTCTCCCACGCGAGGAGCCACGTTGGCGATCCGCATGCCTGAGGGATTGAACGGCTCAGATACCTTCCCGCTCGTACAAACGACAAGATCTCAATCCCATCTGGATTCGAACGAACGACCCTGATTGCCTACGTGATGGATCCAATGGTGGCATGATTAACGACTCTGATTCGCAGGGCTGACCGATCAGATGGTCCAAAATATGTAAGGGAGGAGAATCTGGGTTGACCCAAATAGGGAGGAAAATTCGACGCCTGGATGGACGACCCTGATTGAGGGGAGGGAGTTATTTAAACCTCTCATTCGACTGGTCTCCTAAACCTAGCTGCCAGGTCGATCGGAGAAGAAGGAGATAGGAACGCTAGAGGAAGCTCAGCCGCTGGAGGGACGATAGTGCCGTCGTGTCGAAAGCTGAAAATAACACTGATAAGCTCGATTTTCTCCCAATTTTCCTAATTTTCCATTCTCAATCGTTTCTCTTTACTCTTTCAAAGTAGATTGACTCGAGGAAGGCCACGAACCGAGAGGGAAGAGACGCACAAGTCGGGCCGATTTCGGTGAGTTGTCCACCTCCCTCTGTTCCCTTTTCCTCTCATAAACACTAATAACATGTTGTTTTCTTCGTTTAACAAAGAAAAGAGAGAAAAGAAGAGGAAATAGGTGAAAGTCGAGGGTGGGAATCATTGCAACTGGTGGTTTCGAGGAGCTACACCGCCACTGGCCGATTTGGGATAAGGATGCCTAAACCCTTCTCTCTGTAACGGTTGACCGAAGGTCAACAAGAAAAAAAAATAAAATAAAAAATAAATATAATGATAATAATAGCATGGTAGGGATAGTAATAAAATAAGGTGATATGCATATATAGGTATATGCATAAATACACTTGGCTGGACTAAAATCTAGCCTGCGTCGGGTGTTCCTAATTTTAATCTTTAAGGTTGCCGATGGAGCTAACAAAATGCATATTGTTATTTTAATTTATTCTTTTATTTTCTTAATTTAATTTACACAAATTCTTATGTATATATTTACTTTATTTTCATTTTTTTTGTTTTGTTTCATATAATTTTATCTTACTATAATATTCTATATATTCTATTTCATCAAAGTCAACGTCACTTTATTTCGTTCCACTTTATTTTGCATTACTTGAATCGAAGTTATTTCGTTCCACTTTATTTTGCATTACTTGAATCGAAGTTAATTTACCTTATTTTGTCGTGTTGTATTTTTAGATATTTTGTCTATTGTATTTATTTTAACCTATTCGATGATTATCTCTCGTTCGATGCACACTCAATTACGAGTTACGTATTCTAGCACTAATATTTGTGTTTATGCATGTGTTGTAATGATTAAAAACGAAAGGTGGTCTAGGCTTATTTTGGAATATGCATAATGCAGAATAGGGTTGTTGATGAAAATAAAATTAGGCAATGAGGTAAATAAAATTGCCATCGGATATCAAGAGGGGGGTGGGGGGGGGGAGTATATAAGGTGATCCCTATTGTGGATATGATTTTCAGTCATACGAGACTAGGAAGTCCCATATCGGACGAGATTTGAGAGATTGTGAATGACACCCATACTGGACAAGGTATGGAGACGATCGATATAAGCAGCACTCATATCAGATGGAGTATGGAATGACTGGTTCAAGTGGTATCCATTACCGGACGGAGTGTGGGGACAACCGATAGTTGTGAAAGAAATATAGTTATCCACGAGTAGGAGGAAATCTTATGGGGCCCATAGATACTGGTGGACAAAGATAATACTGAAGGATGGGTAAGGGGATGATAAACAATTAATAGCTTTTTATTATATTCCTGAACATATCAAAATATTATATATAAAAGTTGTTTAACGAGAAAGTATGTGATAAATTATTTTTCATAAAAAGAAAGGGTTCGACTACACTAATATGGTTTTTAATACAAAGTAAGTACTCCATCGGTTGTTTTATATTTTCTAAAACCCTTTGATTACTGTTTCGACGGTAAGGTTTTTGGCATTCTTATAGAGCGAGTGTTGCTCACCTCCTTCTTATTATACTTTTATATCAGCACGATCAAGACCAAATCCAGATAGTGAGAGAATAGATTAAAACATCATCCTTATCCATTCTGTCATATTCAAATTGAGATTGATCATTAATGTAGTAATTATCTTTCATTTTAAGTTTTAAACATTCTAGTAACCCCTATTTGGATATTCTAACAAACGTGCAAGGAATGTAACTTTTAAATTTTAATTCTTCTGTTAAATAAAAAGTTTCAGTATTATTCATATTGCTTTTACTGAGTTAAATGCTCAAAATCCTTGATAGAGGTTTGGCCTTTTACATTAAGTCTTTCTTTATCTTATGAAATATTTTCTAAATTTAAATAAAAATTTTACCCATAAAAACATATAAATTTATAACAAGGAGAAATATATAATATATGATTATAAAATTTAAAGTTTCAATAATATTTTATGATATATTTTCTGTAAAATTATCCTTGTGTATTTTATTAGTGCATTGGGAGACAATGAATATATGTTATGAGCTATGTTTAGCATAGGTTAATAGGTTGGATAAGTTAAAAGAATTGGAATTTG